GTGTCAACAGTGCCTTCAGACTTTTACATTGCTAAATGTAGTCTATAGGAAACTTTAACAAGCAAAACTGAAAAAGCCCCACCTAGTGTCAGCAGAAAGTAATGCAAATGATAATTCCCAAAATATGCAGAAAAAATACATGTTAAAATATATTTTAAGATCATGTTTAGTCATCTGATTCGTCTGTACATTGCTGTTTCAGTCTGTGTTCTTCTAATTAGTGTCTACAGTGTGCCTATTGAGCCGTGTTGAGCTATGTGGGGCAAGCCCCTCTCTCTGCTGTTAAAATGAACGTGTACTGTAAAAACTACACTGCACATGCTCAGAGTATTTTTCTATTCAATGGGTCTTGTTTAAAAAAGCACCAGAAGCTTATATACACATCTAAGTTGTTCGTGCCCCACCACTTTTGTACCTATAAAAACGCCACTGGTACCAACACATATCTGACACATTTTCATTCAAGTCACTGTTCCAAAAAACGAACTAATGAAGAGCAACATTGCAACTATGGTCACCCTAAATGGGAGGAATACAACAAAAAAGTGAATAATATTCCAACAATTTACTTAGTAAATATTTACAAAATAAGCGGAATAGATTCTAAGCTTCTTTCCCCCTATTTGTAAAATGAATCCACAAAAACATGTTCAAAGTTAATTGCAGGATTGTATGATTGCAAGGCCTTAAGAATTTTAGATTTTGAGATAGAAAAAATGTGTCAAGACAAGTCCATCTGGGGGGGTTACAGGGACATCTGCTGAATGTTACTGACTGTGCACAGGCTGGAGCTCCGTTGATCTCAATGAGCCACACTTTGAAGCTCTCGTCCACCATGAAGTCAAACCCGAAGAGTTGGAAGCTCTGGTAGGACAGGTGCTTGGTGCTGATTGACGGCTCGATGCATGTCAGACAGCTCCTGTTGAACCAGACATCAAATCATTTCACATCACCTGACTGTTTGACAAACATGTAAACATCTTTGTACTAAACATCTTTTAGAATTCATCAAAAACATTGCAGGTAATCATGTATAATGTGTTTGAGCGCTAGCCAATAGAAGCGTGTGTGTTACATAGTGATGTACAAGTAAACAATGGAGTCCAATGGAGGTGTTTCAGGCAGGGGGGTGTGTGTGTGTGTGTGTGTGTGTGTGTGTGTGGGAGAGAAACTCCCTCTGGAGGGAACTTTGAGATTTTAGCCTTTGCAGAACATTTACATGAACACAAACCTATATAACAATACAGGAAAGGGCAAACCCCCAAAAGCATAATAGGGCCTCTCTTGCAAGGCAGGCTACTTCCACTTGGATTCTAGTTTCTGCTGTTTTCTAATGCCGCTCAGAAGCAGAACTGTTCTGTTCTCTTAGCTTGTACTGTAAAAGGTATTACATCACAGCAAAATCGGTATCCCAAGATGAGTGCAGCTGATCTTATGGATGAGCACACAGCAGGGAGAGGCCGAGGCTGCATTAGCTGAGCAAGAGGAAATGACCCATGAATATGCTCCAAGCATTAGAAGCTTGTGCACAATGCATCCTGGTACATGTAGGCACTGCCACTGCAAGCAGGAGGACTCAGCTGTCTCAGCCTTTATAGCAGCACTGAGGAGTTCATTGCTTCAGTTGACTTCACATCACATCAGCACCAATGGGATATCCACATAAAGGGTTCTTTCCTAAGGGATGGTAGCTGGGATTTCATGGATACCAACGTCATATTTCCATAGTTGTAACACGTGACTTAGATTCAAATCTGACTAAAGTGCCTAAGAAGAAATGCACCACTATTACTAAATGCCATAGAGCAGTTACGATCTCTTTATTTTACAAGCTGAAAAGCTAAATGTCCACTAACAAACAGTGTCATCTCTCTTTTAAACCCAGTCATCTAATAGAGTAAAGTTTCTTTGAAAAACAAGTGACTTGCACCATAAGAAGGTTATTACATACATACATTCACTGTCAACTAGGACAGACTTGATCAGACAACTCAGTGACATTTCAGTAGAAACGATTGGGGAACAACACAAAATAAAAACAATACAAATGTGTACGTTTTTGAATTTACGGTGGGCTACAGTATGAGATCGAAAAAGAAAAAGAAAAAACAAGCAGGACCTACTTGATGATCTGCTTGATCTGAGGTAATATGGAGGTCTCCAGCATGACGTTGTGAGTGTTCAGCAGGTACAGTCTGAACTCATCGAAGAACATCTCGTTCCCCTCCTCGTAGCGCCCGTAGTTCTGGGAGTGTTCCATCTGGATGCAGTGGTTGGTCAGGTGGCTGGTCATGTCCTGCAGGTCGGAGCTGTTGTAAGGCTCCGAGGACGTCCGCAGCACGCCCTCCCGGTATAGATAGATGTTGTACTGATGGTCAACTAGCACCCAGCTCCTAGCAAAAGCACAACATAACAGCTATTAGTGAGAAAGCCCAACCAGACTAGCATATTATTAGTGGGCTAGTTAGTAGACCTACCTGATGTCAAACTTCCGATTTCCCGGCTGCAGAAGCAGAGGCTTCTCCAGGTACTTCTGAATAACATGAACCTGTCCCTGATTATCAATGTACTCCAGCAGCTGATTAGCATCAGTGGAAATTAAAATACCAGCACCTATGGCAATACAAAAAAGAAGTTGTCATTGATGATATTTTACACAATTTTAAACTTTGAACAGTATTGTCCCCAACAAGGAGGATTTATTAACAGAAAATATATGGTTGCCTTTTTTAATGCTGAATGGCATATTTCCAGGAAACTTGTTAACATCTCTGGTGGAATTATTGTATGATGTTGTGAAGAAACTCAGTTCTACAGATCTGTCAATTAAAAGTATCTAATCGTATGAGTATTATTCCTAGGAAAAAGGCTCTTCCAAATACCTCTGAAAAAGTATGTTATCCATTTGATCCTCTTTGATATTATTTTAAAAGACACTGAAGAAAAAAGTCTTTCTAGGGTTTACTATTACCAACAAATGTATAAACATGGATTAAGGTTTTACCTTTAGCTCCAGAAGAAGACTTGGCTATCCACACTGTGCCCTCCCCAATTTCTTTTTTGGAGTGATAGGACGCCAAGAAAACTTCCCGCTCATCCGTTTTGGGATTGCTCTTCAGGTGGCTGATACCATTGGTAGCTGGAGCCACAGGGGTTTTGAGGTTAGTGGGATAGATGATGTAGGATTCTGGGAACCAGCTAGAGGAGTCTGACAGCTCTGGGCTCGTCTTTATAAGCCTAATGATAAAGAGAGATAGTGGTCAGTTAATGCAATTCCATTTGAATAATTAATTTGCACAAAAGTACATTAATGAATTAGAAAAATGCATATACTGACTTAACTAAGGATGCCTTCCTGCAAAGCTTGTCTGCTCCCCTGTAGTAATTGACCAGCTGCACCAGGCCTGGTTCATGACCTGTGATGTCCAAGACAGGATACTTTAAAATGCATTAAAAATACTCATGTATCTTTGACTGCACATCGCAAAATTCCCACAGGGAGCTGGAGCAGGAAGTGCCGCACAGTCACAGCAGCTGTGTCATCTGCAGCTGTGGGTGGACACCAAATATAGCACACAAATGTCACCATCATATGAAATAAGAAAAAAGCATATTTACCGAGACGTCCAAAAGGCAGTCTGTTGCGTTCACCAAGCATCAAGTTGAATCTGGGATTGTCTCTTTTCAGCCTCTTCCATTGTCCGGAAGAGAGGAGGATTTTGGAAACTTCTGCATAAACAGTGCTGTTCTCGTCACGGGTAACAAACGTATACATGGTGGTATTTATAATGCCACGCTGAGGGGAAGTAACTACTAAAAACGATTGAATGTGTAAATAACTTAGCTGGGTGGCTAGTTGTGATGCTGTCTGGTTGGCACTGCAGCAGACAGACTGTTCGGGGTTATCTCCTCTGTCCGTGCCATGACGATGAGTCAGTCATATCCAGTCCACTCTTCCCAGTTAACTCACAATATTGTTCCGAAGCCCCCGCAGAAGAAGCCTGAGGCTAATGGGAAGTATAAAACATCGTCACATGTGATGGAGAGAAGTTTGAGGTTGCTGCGCAGACAGGGCTCCTCGCCCCAGACCAGGGTGTGACTGACTGCTGCTTGCGGCTCCTGGGGCTGGTCCCGTCTGGATTAAGATCCCGTCTCCGGTTTAGCTTTAGCTAACGGACTGCGACTGCTATGAACAGCTATCCAGGAAACGTTTCCCGTACCCCTTCTCAAAGACAAAGGCCTTTATAATAAATAGTGCAAAACATGAACTTATTACATAGTTAGTTTCACAATATCACAAACACAGCATATTACTCCCACCATGGATGAAGACAACGGCGGCGTTTTCATTGAAGCTTAGAAGTCGCTGTCATCCGCTGTCGACAGCATAAACAAAAAGCTGCCCGGTTGTGGTAGGTGTAGTTTACGAGTGCAATTATATCAAGACTCATTCGTATGTATTTACTTATTATGTACAAAAAAAAGTTAATTAACACCGTCTGCTAAAAATTGTGCGTACAATTCTGATTTCTTCAAAATAATGTAAGTCGGATTTTATTGTCCAACTGATTTTCAACAAAGCCGGTACTACATTTCCCAGAATGCAGGACGATAAAGCGACGATATTATCATTATTGCATTTATTTTTGCGTGTTATGGCCACACGATGGTATTGTAGACCTCTAAACATTTTTATTGCGGTCGGTTGAAACTACAGTCCGGATAAAATAAGTTTCAAAACTTCCAGAGAAGGATTATAACTCTGGGTAAGACTGTCTCCTTGTTTATTGTTTTTGTCACGAGTCAAAAAGCTTTATGTGGTGCTTGGTAGAGCGGCATAGTAACACTAAACGGATCCTACTCACTCTCTGGGAGAACCTGGGGGATAAATGGAGCACTCCTAGTTGTGACAAGTTATGGGCCCCGTTCCGATATTTTCAAATTAGGTATTTGCTTAAATTTAGCTGTTTATATTCTCATAGTTTCACCATAAATCGACGTTTGTCAATGTAATAACTACAAGCATTTGTTTAATTTTGACTAGTTTTATAATTTAGGCAAGAGCGATGCTGAAAGACTAGTTTAGGTTCTCCAAGAACGAATTGGAACGAAACAGGAAGTTGTACTGATGAGGAAGCAACTGGTGGCGCGAAAAACTAAACAGCTTTCATCACGTTTACATTATTATACACCTTGTGTTTGTATTATAACACCCACTTTTATCGTAATATCAGAAGATTTATAATTTAGTAAGTGTCGTCCTTCATTCCAATGTATTGTTTTGTCGCGTGTATTTTCACTAAACGCTTGTATTGTGTATATCAAAAGGACCCGTCTACGCACTGTTTATGCATGTCATGGGGACTGCTAGGTTTTTAACTTGTCATTTGAATGAATGCTATCATGAATTAAATGATACTGCAGAAGCCTTGGTCAGTAGAGCTGCATGTTTATCAAATTAGATGTTTTGCGTAGCTGCCATAGCTGCATGTAGTCAAAGGGGCGTTTCACCAATTTGACCTATTCTAATGAAAAAAACCTTTATAGGTTATCTGAGCTTGGTTATGGAGATCAAGCATGCTTAAAACAAAAAGTGTGGCGTTGCAAAGACAGGTATTTACCATCATGTTTTTTTAATCTGTTCCTGTGAGTTACCAAAGTTATTGGCATTCAAATCAACTTGTCCCTGTATTATAGGTCTGTGCATATCACATAATGTATTCTAATGAGATGTTACTATTGTGTGTGTGTGTGTGCGTGTGTGTGTGTGTGTGTGTGTGTGTGGGGGGGGGGGGGTCAGGCAGGATCTGTACCTTGGCTTTTACTGAGGTCATATATTTTTAATAACTTTTGTCCCCTCTCCTTCATCAGACTGGAGCAGGCCAGGCATGAGTGGAGCACACCTGGACGAATGGCAGAGGAGGTCCTTTGACATTTCATCTGGCAACTGTACACCTGAACAGACGGCCGATGCCTACCGGGCCCACATCCTCTCCATTCAGTATGCATGGGCAAGCTCCCAGCTCTCTCAGGCCGGCATGGACAGCCTGCTCAGGACCTACTCGGAGCGCTACGCCGCAGTGCTGGACTCAGATGACCCCCGCACTGGGCTGAACAACTATGCAGACAGCGCTCTGCACCTGGCTCGCAGTCAGAGGAACCACAGTGACAAATGGGAGTCGTTCCTCACCATGGAGAGTGTGCTGGAGCTGCCCTGCGTGCAGAGGATGATTCAGGCAGGGAAGGGGGGAGGGGGCTCCCTGGTGGCAGCAGGAGATGTTAACATATCTGTGGGGCAAGAGAGCAGAGGCAGCTCCCTACCTGCTGCTTTTACTGGGGACTGCTCAGACACTGCATTGTTCAAACCTACAGTTCCACCCCAGCCTAAAGCAGAGGTTAACACCAGTGCCAGTAATCCAAACTCATTCTCCCGTCCTCCAGCTCGACCACAGTCTGTGTTCACTCACTCTTCCTCAGCTCTTCCCCAGGGAAACCCTGGCCCTGCAGGGGGAACACAAAACTATCAGTCCTCCTACTTACCCAACTCCAACACATCTAAGCGGAAGAACTTTTACAACACAGACAGAGGGGATGGTGGCAGGGGTCAGCAGGGAGGTCAAGCAGGCAGTGACCCGCAAGCTGGAAGCAACTTTAAAACGGCTCGCGAGCAGTTCATTGTTGAGCAACAGAAAAAACACTCCAACCAGGCGCAGAGAGGTCAGGCATCCTGGCCGGCAGCAGCTGTGAAGAAATCTCTAGGAGCCAACAGGCCGCGGGGTACATTTTCCAAATTTGTGTCACCCATTCCCCGACAGGAGGAGGAAGAAGGAGGAGGGCCAAATGGTAATTCCAATCAGGAACCTCAGATCGTGGACGAGCGTCTGAAAAACTTTGAGCCGAAGATAATTGAGCTGATCATGAGTGAGATCATGGACCACGGGCCTCCTGTCGTCTGGGAGGACATCGCAGGCCTGGAGTTCGCCAAGACCACCATAAAGGAGATTGTAGTTTGGCCCATGCTGCGACCTGACATCTTCACTGGTCTCCGGGGTCCACCTAAAGGCATCCTCCTGTTCGGACCCCCGGGGACTGGAAAAACTCTGATAGGGAAATGCATAGCCTGCCAGTCAGGGGCCACCTTCTTTAGCATCAGCGCTTCATCACTCACATCCAAGTGGGTGGGTGAGGGAGAGAAAATGGTGCGAGCCCTCTTTTCCATCGCCCGCTGCCACCAGCCTGCTGTCATCTTCATCGATGAGATCGACTCGCTGTTGTCCCAGCGGACGGACGGGGAGCACGACTCCTCACGCAGGATAAAAACAGAGTTCCTGGTTCAGCTGGACGGAGCAACGACGTCAGCCGAGGATCGCATCCTGGTGGTGGGCGCCACCAACCGGCCTCAAGAGATAGACGAGGCTGCCCGGAGACGCCTGGCCAAGAGGTTATACATCCCCCTGCCCGAGGGAACGGCCCGGCGGCAGATCATCATTAACCTCATGACCCAAGAGAAGAACCAGCTGGACGAGCCGGAGCTGGACAGCGTGGTTGCTGCCACAGAGGGCTTCTCAGGCGCCGACATGACGCAGCTCTGCAGAGAGGCGGCGCTCGGGCCCATCCGCAGCATCCAGCTCAGTGACATCGCCACCATCACTGCAGACCAGGTGAGACCCATCCAATACAGAGACTTCCAGGACGCCCTGCAGACCGTACGGCCCAGTGTCTCATCAAAAGACTTGGAGCTGTATGAGGAGTGGAACAAGACCTTCGGATGTGGACGTTAAGCGTGGCTGCTTATCCTGATTGTTGTTCAAATTGAGGATTTCATTTTGAACTGAGTTTTTGATTTCAGCTCTGGAGGAATTCATACAAAAGCACAAATTGGGCAGAGATAATAGCATGTGCACTTGTTGTTGTTAATCCTATTGAGAACAAAAATGTTTGGCAATAGTGTAGTCTCAAATAAGGTATAGATACTTAAAAGCATCACAAAGATAGTTATTTTAATGCAGGGATTTCTGTCAAGTTGCATTACATTGAGGTTAGTATATCCAAAAATTCCTTTTAATTGAATTAATATTTTTCCAAACATCCCGATGTTATGCGAACCATTTAATGTTCGTTCCTACCAAAACGCTGTTGCAAAACAAATCCAGTTATCAGTGCTCTTAGTGCTGATGGGATGAGAGACTTTTCTGTATGAAGAAATCGCTCTTCAATTGTTCCCAGCTGTTTGTTACTGCATTATCCTCTGGTTTGTTTGGATATTTATTTCACTGTTGCTGTGTGATTTGCTGAAGGCATTAAGATATATTGTATTAGTATCATTTTTGTAATGCTGTGAGGATAAACATTCAGCATGTTTAATAACCATCCCAATAGATATTCTCACCTCTCTCATATACTGTGTTTCATGACTGAATGAATTTGAGTTTGATTCTTAATTGAATTGCCAAAATTGTATTTTTTTCCTAATAAATAAAAATGTTACCATCCTATACACCTTTGTCCATGTCGGAGAATTGAAACGCATACATATTAAGTGTCCAATACTTTGTTGCATCTCTGCACTTGATCTACTTCCCTTGTAATCTGAGTTTTATTCACACATCTCTTATATTTTGTTTCATTCTGTGGTTTTCCTGATGTGCTAATCATATCCACAGAAGTTGTGCAAGAGAGTATCCTAAGTTTAAAAACAAACCTGAAAGCTTGACTCCCTTCCTGTTGGTGATTCAGACAGCAGTGGACTCAGCAGGAACATCTGTCACTGCAATACGTCCTTTTTTAGAGGATAAACAGCAATCCACATGCTGATGTAGATGTTTATATTTTAAACTGTGTGTCCAGTTAATTTCTCATCGTTAATAATAAGCGGTCAACAGATTTTCTTATCCTTTTTAAGTTGAATGCCTCACTGGTCATGCACTGTGATAGTGAGCAGGACCATTATAGATTGGGCACACATCAAATGAAATTCTCATGTAAATTTCATGAATCAATCTTTGAAAATCTGGAAGACCATGAAAAACTATTTTTCATCTTTTTGTCAAGTCGCTGATAAATATTTCAGACGTGTGTTTGGCCACTCTATGTTCAATAAGCCAGCAGTGAAAGACTTGACACACACACACACACCCCCCTTGGGCGTCTCTTAACAGGAGGGGGGCCCACAGCTGGACCGGGCCAGATGCACAGAATTCCTCTGGTGCTGCTGGGATCCACAGAGCACGGCTGAATACTGGACATATGGTGGACGCTTGTTTCTCACTTTGACTGGCTGTGAGGCAGTGGTCACAAACATCACACAATATGTTTATGAGAAACGGAGGTATGAACTTTTATCATGTTTGTTTTTCAAAATTGTAACTTTTTTTATTGCCTGTTTTGATATCGTATTATTTAATCTTTTTCAGGCAGAGAATCTGATGGAAAAGTATGGGATTAGTTTTGTATCATAAAGATAAAGCAACACTTTCTCAGAATAAAGCAAAACTATGAGTTTAAAATTAAAAAAAACGGAGTCAAGCAAAATAAAAAATGTCAAAAATAAAACTATAAGTTGATCTATAAGCAATCCCATAGAAAAGGCATTCAGAAACAATGTAAAAGAAAGCATTACAACAAAACAATCTGTTTCTGGAATTTTACCAAGCAGTATTATTCAGAAAAACAATATTTAAAGTTATCCCTTAACATTTCCATGACTTTTTAATATTATTTTAAAAATAAAATCTAGCAATATTTAAAAAGTAATAAATAACTATTACAAAAATTCACACAATGTGCGGTGGTCTATCGGCAACTTTTACTGTAAGACTAAACATGGATCCATAGGAAACGAAGCAACATGTGTTACAAACACTATAACCGAACACTGAAGTGGTGTGCAGCAAGATATCAGGGAGCGTTCACAATTTTTTATTTCACATTTATTATCAAACCAACATGAGTTTGTTTGGCTTTACTATAACTTTGCCCCTTATCTTTTTTGCTTTTTGGCTCAATGTAAGATACTTTTACCCTTTGGGCCTCAAACAGTTCAAATGAAACCATGTGACACGCACAGAGGGGACATGTTTGTTGGAACTGCTCAGAGACATCTGAAACGAGAGAGGCCTCATGCACACACTGCTTCTTTTGGAAGTGGTCAAATGACGGTTACTAAGTAATTTAACTCAAGAACTGTACTTAAGTTCAATATTAAGGTACTTTACTTAAGTATTTACATTTCCTTCTACTATGTAAAACTCACTACAATTCAGAGGTAAATATTGAACCTCTTACTGAACTACATTTTTTAATTACTTTGTTTACCATGAAAGTTCAATTTGATAATAGAAATATAATCATCAAATAAGTTAAACTTTAATATAGGTTATTGTAAATGTCTCTTATCCTTTGGTGAAGAATATCATATTTGAGTGATTATGATTATTATATCTAATATCTCAACTTTGTTTTATTGGTACTTTAATTACATTTGATTTATTATACTTTTGTTTTAATTGAGTAATAACTTAAATGTAGGACATTTACTAGAGACAGTATTACGATTCTGTGATCAAACTTCAATACTTCAAATATGAAACATACCAGTAACTAGCTGTTTATAGATGTAGAGGAGTAATGACATGAATTCTCTATGAAATGTAGTGGAGCAGTATAAATGCTTCAGTCAAATACAAGTATTTCAGAGTTGTGCTTGAGTACAGCTGTTGAGGGTATTACATTATTTTTCCACTACTGGGTAAAACACTATGCCTAAATTTTGATGCACACATTTTGCCTCACATTGTAGAAACGGTGACCAAATTCTCAAAGTAGGCGATGTAGCGTATATTCTAGCCTTTTATTATTAGGGCACGTTCTTTAGAGGGTGAACAACTTTCTTGTTGGATCCTGTTGACAGCATATTTGGAAAGTGTGATTCTTGAAGGAGTATTTCCGTCAGTCAGCTGGCTGAAAGGGGAAGTGAGATTTGGGATCCTGGCAGGGCCCGAGTTGGTTGGCCAGATTATCCCTCTCATGCAAATGCCCCCCCCCCCCCCCCTCCTCTTTTGGGTCCCAGTCAAGCGTGGGGGGCTCAGCGCTGGCCACAGCTGCTTGCCGTTTCTGCTAAATCACACAGCAGCCATCTGGATGGGGCTGCGCCGCTCACCACGCCGAGCTCCTCCTGCGGCCCCGGCCCAGCCTCTTTAGGCCGGCCGGGCCCTCAGAGCCCCGGCCCCTGCCTTCTGCTCCAGTGCCTGATCCTCTCTGTCCCAGCTCTCCTCAGAGGACACACACTTCAGGTCCTGGACACACGGCACATGTCCACATGCTGGTGTGTGTCTGTGCGTGTGCGGCTGCTTATGCTACCAGTACTCCCCTGATGGCACAGTTTAACACGAGGGTCCCTGAGCACACAAATACCTTAAGGTTTCAGCCATGTGTTGTTTGTCTGTTTGCCATCCTTAAATTATAAGATTATATAGTCTGAATTTAGGATTTATAACTACAAAACACGCTAGAAAAAATATAAATAATTGACAGAAATAAGATCCTTTTGCGAATAGGTAATTGTATGTGATGGGGTGTTTATTTATTCACCTCTTGCTACATGTTTCCTTTTTTTTTACTGAAATACCAGTCAATCACTCTTACTTGGCTCATCCTAGACTGGTAGGAGTGAGCAGAATCTTGAATGCCATCTGATCTTAATTATTTCAGAAGGTTTAAGAGGGTGAAATGAAGTCTTCAGATTTCTCTGAGAAACTTTTAATAACTCCAGGAATAGCTTTCAGTTTACTGTGGACATTTCCATATTATTTGACACTTGGTTAATACAGTCCAGAAAATAAAAAAAATTCCATTAAAGGGGCCCTATTAGGCTTTTTGGGGTTTTCCCTTTCCTTAGGTGTTTTATATAGTATATAGTTTCTCTCCCACACCCCCCCTGCCTGAAACGCCTCCATTGTACTACTTTGTTTACTTCTGCGACATAGTAACATCACTATGTAACACTCACGCTTCAATTGGCTAGCGCTCCGACTTATTGTATGTGATTAAGAGGCGGGACATCTCCAAGCGGTTGACCAATCACAACAGAGTCAGCCAGCTAACCAATCAGAGCTTGGGCTCTGGTTTCAGACAGAGGGTGAAAAGAGGTGCTGCAGCACAGGCAGTCTGAGAAAAATAAAGAGCTTTTTGAACAATAAAGCATGGAGACATGTCACAGTAGAGACACACAATACAAATATGAACCTGAGAATAAGCATGATAGGGCCCCTTTAAAAACATATTTAAGAGTATTTAAGGCGATCCAAACCATGTAGCGAAGCAGTCGTTAGAAACGTCTTTGTGCTTTGTCCTAAAAACAAAAAAAAAACATCCCCACTCTTAGTGCATATATAAAATATCCTTTATTGATATTTTGCAAGCATAAAGCTCCTTCAAACCTCAAATGACTCATTTACATATTGTGAGTGAAACATTTCTTAGCCATCATATACAAAACAAAACAGGGTAACATTTTCTTCGGATAAAAGTCCAAATAAATTCCAGCAGCGGTCATGTTTTCACCTCAGTCACATTAAGTACAGTTGGACAGAAAGAGATGCAGCTTTTCTTAACTACTCTACAGACAAACACTGATCACTGCAATAAATACAAAAACAGACAGGTGTGTAAATGTGATATAAATAATATGCAGGTTGTTACAATACAGGAACAGGTTGAGACTTTGAAATGTAATGTGGGGATATATACAATGATGGTTTTGTATTGGTTCATTTTTACACCTGTTTTAATTTAAAACATTTTTTCTGGATTTAAAACTGCAGACCACTTCAGTAAACAGAGTTGTACTGAAATAATGTTGCTGTCTTGCTGTTTTTAAAGAAAAGACACATTTATACATAATATACATGTGGCGACTGAAAATACATCATTTAAAAACCTATGCAGGATGTGTGCCCGCTGTGTTGCCTTCACTGAACATTATTTTGTTTCTTTAAAAAAAACGACAAGAAATTCCTTTTGAACACGGAAAGGGAAAAAAACATCTTATATTCTTACATTTATCTGTGTTCAACAAACATGCATACTTTGTATAAAACACCTTTCAGAACTCAACAGTGTATTTTACATTTTGTATTTCAGATCTGCGTGCACTGAAAAAACTGCAACATTGACTTTAGTTAAACGTATTATATCAACGAATTACAGATAATTGCATTAGGTTAAATGAAAGCAATAATCTTAAATTGAACCTATTTAAACGCAATGTTATTGCTACTAATTGGACCATGTGTAATATGTTCTCATAATAGTCAACATTTCAGTTTTTCCAGTGTACAGCTGTTTGTCTGTGGATGTGTTCAGTAGCGGTGCTCCCCTCGCGTGATGTGTGAGGAGAACTCATATCGGTCTTGGCTGCGGTGGCCACACAGGTTGCACTCGAAGGGGTCTCTGAAGCCGTGGCAGCCCATGTGGATGGTGTACATGACGTGGTCCAGGAAGAGCACGCGGCAGTGTTCGCAGCGGTGGGCCCTCACCTGCTCCCCGTCTGACGTCACCACCTTGAAGCCCTCGGAGGCCATCTCCATGCTGGCGGCCCTGATGGCCTCGTACTGCCTCTGCATCTCATCCTTCACCAGCATGCCGTTCCTCCCCCCCGAGGTGATGTGGTTGGTGAGGTAGATGAGGCCCGAGGCGGCCCCCCCCGGGCGGTCCTCGTTGTTGCTCTCGGTGTCCGTGGAGTCCTGGCTGTGGCTGGGCGAGCCGTCCTTCTCGCTGGACGCTGATTTGGATTTGGAGAGGAGCAGCAAGTTCTCGGCGGCGCTGTCTTTGGCTGACAGGTTGTGACCGGCCCCCACGTGGTCCTCGGCCCCCGGCTTGTGGAGAGGGTACAGGGAGCCAAGGCCCACATCGGACGAGGAGGCAGGGGAGGTCTGCACCAGGGGCCGCAGCGACTCGGCCCCCAGGTAGCTGATGGCGCTGTTGATGGCCTGGTCGATGACATGGGGCTGGATCAGCTCGCCTGAACCCCCGTCGTAGGAGAGGTCCGACAGACGCTTGTCCCCTGAGGGCCCAGGAAGAGAAAAGAGAACAGGGTGAGTTTTATCATTTACTTTTACTTCATCATCTAATGCTGGGGCTGCTCCTCTCTAGCTGAATTTGGAAATGACTCACTGTTATATTTTTTTCTATTTTCATTCTAGCATTTCCCTAAACCTGTTCTGCTTCTCTCCCTCTTTTGTTATGAGGGTCTTAATTAAGGGTTCATAAACAGAAAACATTTTTATTCACAATTTTTATCAGGCTCAACAAAAAATAAATATAATTTATTTTCTGTTACACAGTATGGCAAGGAAACATTTAAATATTGGGGTGTCATGAAATATCATTATTTGCATTATTTGCAATTACCGTGATATTTAAACAAAAACATCATTTTAATAAAACACATTAAATTATTAAATTACTTCAAATAACCCAGCGACTCTTAAATCATTTTATATATACACAGTTATCGTCACAGACTGTTTTCACCTTCATTGCATTTTTTTACATAATATATTTTCTTTAAAAAAAAGACAAAATGCTAAATAAGATGAAGGTAAAGATGAACAGCCTTATTTTTGTATTTCTTTATAACAAATAATAATAATAATAATAATCATATTTCTATTGAAAATTACTTTGGCCATTATATTGTGTAGTGAAAATCCTTATGCAGAATTATGAACAGAAAACACATCTCTCATTGGTGCAGCAGTTACACACAGTATCCAGCAGAAGCAGCCATAGTACACAAAGGAAGCAGATTCAGCCCTTACCAACAAACTTCTGTGGCATAGTGCTCTTACGCTTAGCTACATTATTCGTTAGTCTGTCTAGCACCAAGGCTCTGTCAGATCCCATCTGGCTTAAGTCTTCCCTCTGCTCATTCTGGTTGCTTTCTTCCTTTACTACTGGAAAGCAAGACAGAGAAGCAGGTTTCAGTCAAAGTAATTTGAGTTTTTAAAAAGCGTGAACCATAGCCTGATAACACATGATGGTATTTTGTGGTCTGATGGTGTTTTTTTTTTCACAGAGCACAGAGCGGACTATTCTGACACATGCGTAGCACTTGGCCTATAAATATACAGCGTACATGCTCACAGATGAGGTAAAGACGTGTTTCGAAGCTTCAATGCAGAGGGTAACAGCCCCCTTTGCATTCAATATCTGCTGAATGGACACATAGAGAACTTAATGCAGACATTACTCCGTTATCTTAAGTATCTGCAGTCACTTTAAGTAGATTACAAACGTTATGATCTTATATTCAGATGAAAACGACAGTTATTTGACCTGTAGGAGCATTTAGTAACAGCTTCATGGTGCACTGCTGTTGCATGCATAGCGAGTCCTGCACTAAGGGTAAAGTAGGCCATCAGATTTGGGTGAAAGTGAAGTGTGTGTGTGTGTGTCTCGGGAGGCACCAACCTGTGTAGATGCTGTTCTGCAGCCCCATGCACTGCAGGTAGTTGTGACACCTCTCCTTGTGCTCTTCCAGAGAGCTCCGCTGCTTATAGCTCCGCCCACAGTAAGCACACTTGTGGGGTTTTCCAACTGCGGAAAATGTAATTGTGAATTCAATGAAATACATTTTGGTGTAGTCACATAGTTAAGATTCAGCATACAGTCAATCTACTATTAAATTCCCCTTTTGGTTGCGGGAAAATATAGGAAGTGATGGATTTTACATTGCCAAATGTATTGGAATAAATAGAACAGGACACATCACGCCCACATGGTTTGATTGACACGTGATCTTTGGGAAGTCCAGAGCAAAATCGTCCCAAATACATAATATCACGTTTCTTGGCAAAGCATGGGCACGGCTGTTGCTAATACTGAAGTCACTGATGTCATGTCTTCTGGGTTTTTAGGGGGACATTTTGGGAAGCTACTTTGGAGAAGTTTTCATTTTCCTTCTCTTACTCAGAGCGGGTATTTTATTAGCTGATTCCAGTGTATTCTTAATTGAAGTTTTTACACCTACAAAATACAAAATATAAGGGATTGACTGTTTCCACCAGAGGTTTATTCCTGGTATTGTAAAGAAGACTTTTAAACTAAATATGAATATAAAGTTGTGAAATATTGTCTATTGAAATGCTAAATGAACAGTCGAATAATACAATTTCTTTTTTGATATAACAAATAGTAAAAAAAACAACCTTTCAGTATCTGATCAGAATTTGAGTGGGACAAATGGGGTGACTTGGCTTGGTAACATATTGATTATTACAATGAACATGATGAATATAAAAGTACTTTATGTAAGGTGTATAGTCAATCCCAAGTGAGTTTGCTACTAAAAAAACGTCCACGAAATCCATATTAATCCACTGCTGAAAGTAGTCGCCTACAAATTCACAATTTACTCCAGTTTGAGCAATATCTGCCAAAAAACGACCATGCCCTGCAGTTTTAGGGAAACTGTTAAGCCGTTAAAAAAAAAAATGGTATTCTATTTTTGCGACCTGTTAATAATTACGTTTAGATGTCCTTTAGTAGGAATGAATGTGGTTGGGGCTGAGTGTCAAAAACCAAGTAGGGAAGTTGAAAAGCAGTGGAAGACAGACCAACACACTGCTGCCTTTCATGGTATTTATAGAGAGTACAAAAAAAACATACATTTTTACATGGATAACCCACCACTGTGATCATAGCTCACTTTATTTGTCAGTTAAGGTAGTTTTGCAGGTTATCCCTTCCCCGTTCTCTTTAGTGAATGCTTTGTCAGTGTACTGTTTACACCCAAACATTTCATTAACATATACTTCTGCAAAACATTTGCAAAAAAAAGTGACACCATATCTACACCCTGTCAACTTCCCCTTTATACGAGCTCTCACTGTATGCACTGCAGAACATGTCCTGCCTTTTGTAAAAGACACTCTGCGTTCCTAGAACCACCACGAAGGTTTGATGCGTCTGTGTGGCGTTTGCATGCTCACCAGAGTGGGTGCGTAGATGTCCGCTGAGGGCGTCCCTCCTGCGGCAGGCGTAGCTGCACATGTGACACTTGAAGGGTTTCTCCCCTGAGTGCAGCTTGATGTGACGCAGCAGGTTACCCTTCTGGGTGAAAGAGGCCCCGCACTGGCTGCACTGGAACGGACGCTCTCCTGAGGACAAGAACACAACAGACCCACATTACTGTAAAGAGGCAGAAAAACACACAGAAAAAAGCATCTTGTATGTTTTACTGGCACCCAATTGTGTTTTAATGTACCCTACCAGGCAGTTCATGATTGCACCCCTCTCCCTAACCTCACTATGATTGATCCCTCCACTGACAACAATAAGTCTTCTCTATGTGGGGGAGAAAGCGTGTTGCTGCTGTAGGAATACGGGGTCACTGCACTACAAGCATCCCGGGCGCAGAACAAGCGGAACGATGGAGCGTCTCCGGGGCGATCCAGCAGCCTGCAGAGTGACACTCTCTCTCTCTCTCTCTCTCCGTACTCCCCCTGCCCCACCGACTCCTGGCGCTCTGATCGAACAAGAGCCTTTCAGACTCAGCCTGCCAGTTCCGTAATGCACCATTGCCTAGGTCAATTTGATCTGAAAATCTCATTTTTTCCTCTTCTTCGTCTCTAAAATAAGAGCGGCACATCACAATGCAAATTCAGCCTCATTTGAATAAAGCGGAGGAAACACTTTGTGTTGAGAGCCAGTCTTCCTGATCAGCGCTTCTGGAATAAACCAATATCCAGCCTCTCTGAGTGTTGTGGCATTCTGTGAGAACGTTTTAATATGCCTTTTTTTTCAAAGGCCCCCCATAAAATAAGAGTCACCAGTGAAGCAGCAAAAATATATAAAAAGGGAGATTCATTAAAAATGCATTTCAGGAGCAAAGACTCACCACAGAATATTTTCTATTTAAATAGGAGGCACTTCATTATATATTTTATTGTACTTTCTTTTGCATTTACGTTAGTCTAGTGTTCCTTTCTTCCATTTTGAGTTTCATTAGTTTCTGAAGCTTGACAGTTAAGTGCCTTTTTCAAAAATGTTCCCCACCACTGCTTTGGCTTCATTACAATAGAATATCAATTTGGAAATTTGAAAAACTTTTAATAGCCAGATAATTGTCACTTCAAAGAGATTCCATTTAATTGCTGCAGATATCCTGTTTTTCAACTGAGGGCATGTTTTTTTTATCGGACCGGGTTATTTTATTGCACAATAATTCGATCAGTTAATGTTTCTTGTCATGTGGTAATTCAGAGTCATTTAGATGAACAATAATGAATGCTAATGGTGTGCTCAGAGTAAATTTCACGCACGATAGGAGGGTTTACATGCACACAGCCAAACGCAAGGATGCCATTACAACTACCACCTCTACTTTTAGCTTAATTCTTGCCATTTAAAATCTAAATAAATGCTCTAAATATGGTCGGGAGCCACAGCAGACACCTTTCTACCCCTCATCCATCCTCTCTAACAGTGAACATGGGTGCAAAAGAAGGGTAAGAAGTATTGCAGGTGGCTTACCGGTGTGGCTCCGCTTGTGCACCATCAACACATTGGGCCCAATGCAAACTATCCCACAGATATCGCACTTGAGCTTCCCGTTGGGCAGCCGGATACCACCGGCCGAGGAGAAGGCCGTGGCTTCGGGGCTCGGCAGAGAGCCGTTCACCTTGGCCCCCGAGGCATCGATCACGCGCAAGTCTTCCGCGCACTCCTCATCCTCCTCCACGCCATTCATGTCACAGGACAGCCCATTCTCCTCATCACTGCGAGCCTCAACTTTAATGTTGCAGGCTGGAAAAGAGGGCAAGGGGGGGGGGGGGGGCCACGGTTTAGAATACGAGCATGGTTCTTTCATGATGTTATATACTAAAGATGGGCAATTATCAGTGTGATATTGATACTGTGACATGAGAGTAGATAGAGCTGCTTATTGTAACATTGTGATGTAGCCTTGAAGTTGCCTTTGCCTGGTTTGAAAGGCTACATAATAGGAAGGAGGGACTATCTTGTAAGACCTATTTGACTGTCCTTACTGAATGAATGAAGGTTTCTAAAAGATGTGTGGCGGTTATGTCCACTTTACCTCACTGAGCTCTTTTTTTTAATGCCAGATCATTTATTTGACCTTTTAAATAATGCTCTTTTTCATTTAGTTTGGTTTGATTGGAATTCATTCTGAATAAAGCGTGTTTTTCTTATTATTATTCGTTGTCTAGCTATGGCTTTTATTTTGGCAAAAATGATTCTATAAATTTCCATTTTTTTTCTCTGAATAAGGCACATCATATTATGTGGTTTTCCTACCGGGGAAAAAACAAACGTGCTCATTTTCCAAAGACATTGTTAATTTACTCAAAGTATGAAACTCTTGTGCAGCCATGAAACCAAAATGTAATATGTCCTGGCTTTATCCTTGGTTGAGCTAGACACTATGTAATAGCACTGCAACTGCACCATAATATACCTAGGGCAAAAGCGGTTTTGCAATAGCAAACCTGCATTAGTGCACAATGCAACATCTTCATGTTAACAAGGATGCTGCAACAACACTTCAAAAAGTCCCCCTCTTACTTCAGGGCTCTTTGTGAATTCAGCCTGAGAAAAATCACCAAACATCAGATAAGATCCATCCGCTCTCACTCATCTACATTGTAGACTATACTGACCCTTTATTTCAAAGCAGCATGTTATCAATCACAAGGACACAAAGGTGGAAAACAGGCTCACTGTTTAAGGATGTCAGTGATGAAGAACCATAAAGATCATCTCACACATTCACACTTTGATGAAACAAATGACAGCATGATAAACAGGAAACAGAGACACAGGAAGCAGTGTGAAACTAGGGACGACAGCGGTGTCTATCAGAGCAATGTGAGCACTCACACGCATACGACAAACACGTATTTGGCCTTTTCACTATTCAGAGAGGTACTGTGTAATGCAGAGAACAGAGAATATTATTTATGCTACACTACCATATGCACTGTTGTTCCCAAAGAGATCAGAAAAGAGAACTGAACTACCGGCTGCTTCTTTTCCCACCAGAGAACTTTAGACACATTTAAGAGAACGGACAGATCTTGCAAGTCCCACAGCTAACAGCCTGTGGTTTGCATGTCACCGTGGCAGCCCGATTTCCCCATGCCTCTACCTCTGTTTGTACAACTGAAGAGGAAGAAGTGGAAATCATGAAATATAGGAATCTATGGAAAAGGGGAAGCTCAGAAAGAGGGCCTGTCTAACTGAAATACCAAGAATTATGGAGAAGTGACAGAAAGGGAAGCACAGGAAAGGAATTGTATAACAGTCTGTAACTGAAACATGGTTGTTGTTTTTTTTTTTGTCTCATTTTCACCGAGAGCCAACAAGGGAACATAAATCCCCGAATGTACAAAATGTTTCCCAAAGAGAGTGAGAGGTGGAGCAAAATGTGAGAACTTGCAGCGTAGGATCATGATATGTTTATGATCGCTATTCCGATCAAAGTCACATAATCTGATCGTCCATCTCCACTTTCTTTTTTTTATTTGCAGTTGCATGACTAACAATCTGCTTATCTGTTCGACTGTTGACATTTTTAGGACAAATTATCTGGTATTTTTTGCCAAGAAAATGAGATAAGTGAGACACCAGCATTATCCCCAAAGGAAAGGAAAGGCTTTAATGTTAATAAAAATGATGGTAAAGTTCTTATGAAGTTCAAAAGCTGACGATGCTACAGAACTGTTACCAAACATACTACATGTGCTTCTAAAATGTGATTACTATTCAGAAGACAAAAGACACAACTCTGAAACTGATATTGCTATGATGCTCAGTCTTACACCTAGAACCAAGTCAGTTAAGCAGATAAATATATATTATTTTGCCCTGCCGTTTAATTGAACGATTCTCAAATTATTTGAAGCAAATTGAACGGTTTAAACATAATTTGGGCTATCACCTATATTTATGAATTACTCGCCACTGAACATCTTTTACAATATATATTATGTTAACTATTTCAACTTTGCATCCATAACTTCAGGCTTACAATTTCAACCATGTGTTTATACCTTTTAGCTAAGCATTTAAACAGTGTAACCACCCATTCATTTTGGCTGACAATTTTAACTGTGATTACTGAATTACTTGATGCTAAATATTTTTACGCTTTTTCATCATTACTTTTAGCTAACTATTTCAACAGTGTATCATTACATTAAGCTAACTATTTCAACAGTGTATTATTACATTAAGCTAACTATTTCAACAGTGTATCATTACATTAAGCTAACTATTTCAACAGTGTATTATTACATTAAGCTAACTATTTCAACAGTGTATAATTACATTAAGCTAACTATTTCAACAGTGTATCATTACATTAAGCTAACTATTTCAACAGTGTATAATTACATTAAGCTAACTATTTCAACAGTGTATCATTACATTAAGCTAACTATTTCACTATTTCAACAGTGTATATACATAAGCTAACTATTCAGCAGTGTATCATAAAATTAGCTAACTATTTTCAACAGTGTATATTACATTAAGCTAACTATTCAACAGTGTATATTACTTAGCTAACTATTTCAACAGTGTATCATTACATTAAGCTAACTATTTCAACAGTGTATATTACATTAAGCTACTATTTCAACAGTGTATCATTACATTAAGCTAACTATTTCAACAGTGTATTAATTACATTTAAGCTAACTATTTTCAACAGTGTATCATTACATTAAGCTAACTATTTCAACAGTCGTATCATTACATTAAGCCCTAACTATTTCAACAGTGTATCATACATTAAGCTAACTATTTCAACAGTGTATCATTACATTAAGCTAACTCATTTCAACAGGTATCATTACATTAGCTAACTATTTCAACAGTGTATTAATTACCATTAAGCTAACTATTTCAACAGTGTACATTTACTTTTAGCTAACTATTTCAACAGTGTATCATTACATTAAGCTAACTATTTCAACAGTGTATATTACATTAAGTTAACTATTTCAACAGTGTATCATTACTTTTAGCTAACTATTTCAACAGTGTATAATTACATTAAGCTAACTATTTCAACAGTGTATTATTACATTAAGCTAACTATTTCAACAGTGTATCATTACATTAAGCTAACTATTTCAACATGGTAGTATTATACATTAAGCTAACTATTTCAACAGTGTATCATTACTTTTAGCTAACTATTCAACAGTGTATATTATCATTACTTTTAGCTAACTATTTCAACAGTGTATCATTACTTTTAGCTAACTATTTCAACAGTGTATCATTACTTTTAGCTAACTATTTCAACAGTGTATCATTACTTTTAGCTAACTATTTCAACAGTGTATCATTACTTTTAGCTAACTATTTCAACAGTGTATCATTACTTTAAGCTAACTATTTAAACTGTGTATCATTGCTTTCAATGGTGTGTCCTTTATATAGTCTATGGGTATGTCCATACCTTTTAGCTATCAACACTGTATCAATAATTCTTGCGAACAATTTCCACTTTGTATCCGCGACTTTTAGCTAATATCTAAACAGTGTGTCAATTACTTTAACCTTACTATTTAAAATATATGTTCATCACTTTACCAAACTATCCATTACGATAAGCTACATTTTAAGCGTTTATCAATTAATTTAAGCTAGGTTTTTCAACATTTTGCACCTGTGACTTGTATCATACTAGCTGTTTGAATTGATGAAATAATTAGCACCTGCACGATGCAGTCAGTCTTCAGTTTTGGAGACTTTGCATGTAGTAAACCATGCATTTCTCACTTGAACCACCAAGGTGTTTCAGTCAGGCAAGCACTTTAATGGTGATGTAAGGAGGGTTTTTTTTTTTTTAGTAAGTAGGGGATTTGCTTTGTTACATTATGTATATAACAGAACTTGAAAGCAAAACTATAAGCGGCTAAACCACGTAGATTCTCTTAATTTATGTTATGGTTTTAGCCACATCACTTCTGGTTGGCACAGTTTTATGAGTAACCAAATGTTTTACTAGTGTCAACAGGGAGTTCTTAAATTATATAAAAAGGCTTTATGTGACTATTGGTTCAGAATATATATTCCATAGCGATTTCTCTGCACATGGAAAGGTACTGATCTAGGAATAACAACAACAACAAAATAAACCGTACATAAGGTATTATTTGACTTATTGGAATTGTTGGAACAATGCACAAACAAGTCTTTATGTTTATCTGTGGATGTCAGTTCCTGAGACATATAATACACCAGCTAAGCTCTCAGGTTATCATCCAGCTGAAGCAGACATTACGGAACCATGAACACAGGGCTGCCACTCACTTCTCATGGATATGGGGAAGTTGTGACTGAATTGGGAATAGGAAGAAGGCTTTTTACTTTTTATCTTGTTTGTCACGGTCACACATCCTGATTTGCTCGTGTTGGGAAGCAAGGGTCAGACAAAAAAAACAAGTCGCAATAAAAATAATTATAGCCTGATGTGGATCAGAACTAAAACATTGACTTGAGAAAAAGAAACTGACATATATAAAAAAGGTATAATAGTGGAGTCAAATATGCTTTTTTTCTTTACAAATATATAAAACTATATAGACTTGAGAGTGGATAGCAGAAGCAACTTAGCAAGTGTGTTAGTGCTGCAGCTTGGAAAGCCTGCTTGAGGTTCCTGTTACTCACTGGTGCTGCTCTCACTGCCTGAAAATAACCCTTTGTGCAAAGTAGTGGAACCACATGTGTTAAACCACGCCAGCAACACTCTTAGCAACGCGATTTGCAGGAACACCAGAAACTGCCTGCTTTTTCCCCCTCACACTTTCTTTTTCAGAAACTCGCCTCCATGTTTTCGGGAACTAAACAGCTCAGTCTCCCTCTTAGTCTCATGTCCCTGAAATAGCAAAGGCTCCGTATGAATCACCAAAACTGAAAGATAATTTTCTTGAGACGGAGATCTTGACCCCTTGTGATTAAATATGTCTGAGGCGACACAATACACTTCAGTTCATTACAGTTTTTTTTAGCAATTCTCACACTGATATGGACTATCTATTTTGACCTATTTACCTTCCTCGTGCTGGGGTCATATCTGTGTGGATTGCAATGTGAATGCGCAGCAACAGTGTCGATCCTGGGCTGTAAAGACTTATTTGCAACAGGAAGCAACCTGGGTTTTGAGGTTTTAAGCTTTCGATACTTTGAGGTCCTTTGTCCCACATATAGTCCACTTGCTTTTTTGCCTTTTTTTCTTGACTACAGAGAACTGAGCAGCACATGATCCTGGCTGATAATTATAACTCATTTGGGCTTTATCGCAGAGGCAGTCATGCGAATATCTAACAGATACTTGCACTTCCCTTCTTTTACGCTGTCCCTATATAGACTCGCACACACTTATGCGAAGTGTTCCTACTGTCATAGGGAATGAACAGAAACTCACATATGGGACATAAAGCCATGCAAACTCACCGCCAGCTGTGCCCTTTACTCTCTTTGTGCCACATGAAAGTCAAACGTTCAAATCATCTGCTTTCTGACTATTTCCCTTTTTCGACAGATTGTAATAAACGTTGACTGAGATGAGATGTACACAGTCACATAAAACAAGGCGATACAAACGGCCCCTAACTCAGTTTTAATGGTTTGTCATTGCGGCACAGAAGATTCCTGCTTGTGCTCAGCGCCTCACAGATCAACAGTTCTCAAGTGAAATAGAGAAACCCTTTGTGAGTAGGAGTGTGTGTGTGTGTGTGTGTGTGTGTGTGTGTGTGTGTGTGTGTGTGTGTGTGTGTGTGTGTGTGTGTGTGTGTGTGTGTGTGTGTGTGTGTGTGTGTGTGTGTGTGTGTGTGTGTGTGTGTGTGTGTGTGTGTGTGTGTGTGTGTGTGTGTGTGTGTGTGCAGGTGTGTGACCCATGTGGTGTAGTGATGCGCTGATCGCTCTGAGCTCGGCCCTGTTCCTGAACTCTTTATCTCCATGAGTGTTGAAACTGTCTGATGGCAAGTTCTTCTTTGGAAACTCTTACACATCCTATTTCAGTTGAGCCGAGTTGCAGCTTTACTTTTGCACATTTCACACTTCAAACTTGTCTTCTTTTCGATGTCTCTATCTTCTATACCTCTTATCTTTTGTAAATATTTAATTACATGTTTCATTAAATGATTGTGACCATGTGAACTCAACTAATTTAATTACGTTTCAATACTGTGACGGTCCCTACCATTGTGGACTTCAAAGCAATAATACTTAAAAGGTAATACCTGCTTTTATTCAAGCTTTTAAAACTTTGTTCTGTCTGATTCATTCTGCTCTGATGTAGCACCGATTAGCTTCTAAAGACCAAGGATGACTCCACCATGAACGTTTCCTGTTTTCTTTTTCAAACCAGCCATATTAGGAGACTTGAGAGAAACATACGCCGCCAGTCCCCATAGCTTGCTTCATCCTTATTTCCACCATGATATTCCCTGGCTTAATGTTCACAAGCTGAAATCAAGGCCACATTAGCTATTCCTTAAGATTGGGCTTATTAATGACATGCCATGGATCAAAGGGTATTTTTTTACCTTTTTCTGCCAATGACCTAAATGTGTCTCATTGCAGCTTAAATTGAATTTTTACAAGGGATTTGGAACGGCAAGTATTTCCCACTGGATGTGTACAAGATTAAGTTATAACATGCTTTTTATATATTGATTATGCTTTTGATACAGACATAACTGTTTTACTCTGATCTGGAGGCTTTGGAAATGAATGCATAAGTGGGTTTGACTCCTTTTTAATTGCTGCTTCATGGATACACTCAACTTAATGTACACTGAAAAACTGAAACGTTGACTTTAATTAATTGTATTATGTCAAGAAATTTCTCATAACTGTTTTAGGTTAGTTGAAAGCAATAATATTAAGTTGAACCTAAAAAAAAAAACATTTTAACTTGACATTATTGCTTTCAACTAACCTACATTTGTCACCATAATACATTTAATTAAAGTCAAAGTTTTTAGTGTAGATTATTTGATCCTTTATTTTATTATCAGGGATGTTCAGAGTGGCTGTAGGTGCATTTGTGAGCCTCGTACCTTTGTCCCCCCTGTTCAGCTGGTGTGTGGAGCCGGCTGACAGGTCCTCAGGGACGGCCATGGGCTCCTCTGCCTCCTCGGACGCTTCGTTGGTGGGGGGGCTGTCTCTGCCTGGGGAGACACACAGCAGCAAACACCCATCACTCACCACGCGGCCCCTCGACGGCTCTCATTCAGACGCAGAATTACCTCTGGGTGTTGTAAGCGCCTGTTTGTCGGCCTATTGTATCTACTTTCTGATCTTTACAGCTCAATCATGCAGTAGGCGGTCTTTTACCTGGCATCTGGGCCATTTCCTGCGCCTCCTCCGTCTCCATGCGGTGCAAGTACTCTAATGGGAGAGAGATGGAGATGTGTGTTAGTTTAATCAAGTGCATGCGAGGAAACAACATTATAAGAAGCTCGAGTGGAGTAAAGGGTTCACCCCAGCGAGATCACTTTTGTCACCGCCGCAGACGCACCACTGTCCCCCACATTACATTACAAAGAATTACAGACATTTTCATTACAAGTCTGACAGAGAGGCTGAGCTCGCAGAGTGGCTCTGCTCCGGCTGATGTGGCCTACTGGTAGCACAGGGTTGGGAATGGGCTTTCAGACCACATTTGTTATTTATTGTTAATTTCCTGCCACGTAATCATCCAAAAATGCAAACTGACTGCCGCAAAATTAAGCAGAAAATTAACTGGCCCCAGGTCACGGAGATGCGGGTGTCTGCCGTTCCCAGCTGATCGTCGCTCGTGTTCTCTCTAATTTACTGAGCATGCATCGCTGAACCCGCGGCCTGGGCACAGATGCATGCAAGCCACAATCAGAAACAATGAGAGGGGAGGACAGGGAGGGAGAGAAGAGGAGAGAAGGAGAAGACAGAGGAGCAGTGAGATAGATAGAGGCTGAGATGTAGATAGCAATGAGAGGGCAAGAAGTCAGAAGAATAATAGCAACAGGATGGCACAGAGAGAAAAAAAGATTATAGAAAAGCAGGCCGAAGAAGAGAAGGTCTCTTTATTTATGATTTTTTTTAATTTATTTTTTTAAGCGTTCCTCCGGCCAGGGCTGAATATCCGAGGAGTCACCAGTGTTCGTGGCCCCATTAATAATGGATGGCCCTCAAGCCTGCAGCAGATGGGCCCGACAGCCTCAGCCCCGGCTCCGCCACTTCAAGAAACCCTTGGTGGGGCCGCTGCCCAGTCCAAGCAGCCTCTCAGGGAGAAGTGAAGCTCCCGAAAATAGCGAAACAAGCCCAAGGGAGAAGGGGAACCTAGGCCTTCCTGTTTTACTGACAGATGGCTCCACACATTTGGAACAAATAGTGGGAAGCCGCTCTGTCACAACACGCAATATTCTGCGGAGTCAAGTCAGGAGCTCTGAAGACGCCCAGGAAGCAAGTGTGAGGGGAGGAGGGCAAAGGTCACTGGTGCAGAAGAGCTGTTTAGCACAGGGGTGTCACGTGTTACTCTGAGGCTCTGCAGCGGCCTTCTTCAGCATCTGGAGTTTGGAGGTCGGGGGCGGCGGAGCGGGGTATATTCTCATGTGCCCTTTTTTTCTGGGCAGATGGTACGAGGGGAAACGCGGATGTGTTGGCTTCGAGGGGGCGGGGGGCAGAAATAAAAAAGAGAGTTCCTACATTCAGCCACAACCAACTTGCGTAGGCATGTGGAAAGTAAGGTGCACGTAGAATATTCAGGAAGCAGCTACTCTCTGATGCTATTTATATGCAGTTGTATTTACCTGTTAAGTGTTACAGACATGTTGGTAAAAACTTTTTTAAAACTTCTCCCATATTGACTTCAGTTGTGATTTAAATAGTGTTACTTAATTTTCCACAGTTTTAATTCTTATTACAAAAACATACTTTCTGATAAGTGTGCGTGTGTGTGTGTGTGTGTGTGTGTGTGTGTGTGTGTGTGTGTGTGTGTGTGTGTGTGTGTGTGTGTGTGTGTGTGTGTGTGTGTGTGTGTGTGTGTTTGTGTGTAAACTGGGGGCAGGTGGAATCTTTTAACGGGTGAAATGGAAGTCAAAGAAAATACTTCTGACAGATAGCGCGGGGGGACTGGAAAAGTTTTGGTCTGAGTATATGTCAAGTGAGGAGAGACAGGAAGAGGCTTGTGGGTTGACAGAATTCTCGGTCTTCCTCCTGTGTGTTTGTAAGTGTGTGTGTTTGTGTGTGTACGTGTGTGTGTGTGTGTTTGTGTGTGTGTGTTTGTGTGTGCGGTGGGGGTGGGGTGGGGTTAGAGGCGTCTGCTCAAAGTGAGGTGCAAAAGTGGCACCAGGGAGCAGGGTGGAGATGAGAAACCGTTAACAGATACTGAGGACCACACCAGCCAAAGTCTGGATACCCGGGAGGACGCTCAGACGCCGTGTGTGTGTTTAAATGAGCATACATAACACACATTTCATTTTAACGGTAAATATGAGGCAACGCTCAAGAAAAGATACAAAAATAAATCAATAAGGAGAAAATATGTAATATAAGGAGAATTAATTAACAAATATACATTTCTTGAGTGTTTAAGTTTAATTAAATTAAGTTTAATGTTAGTAAAAATCATGAGATTATTTTTTTTTTTTATAATTATCCAATATAAGGTATAATTGATCAACTCTGTTACTTTAAATTTAAAAAAAATTACATTTAAACCTCAAATTAAAGTTGGATAAAAGGCCAAGTCGGTTTAGGTTAATATCTTTTTTTAACATGTTGCTGACAATAACAATTTAGACGGCAATAAAACATGTTACAGCATTTAAATACATCAGTATGTAATGTAATATCATTTTTTAATGCTGACCTCCCACCGATTACATTCCCAAACATTATCATTCATAATTGTCGTATAGTTCCTATACTCATAGTTTCCACTTTGCACGTAAACATACTAAGTGACAATTAATGAAAATATCTGAATTAATAATTTTCACTCCTGTGGGTTTTACGAGAAGTAATGAAGCTGTGGGCGCTTCCTTATCAGCTATTAGGATTAGAGATGATCCTACAGTGCCGAGCAATGTGGTGCACGATCACCTTTGTTCATATGCACATGGAGATTCTCATCAGTAATTCATGAAATGTATGGGTGTTAGTGGGTAGATAGTGTTAGCGGATGTGTTCTGGGGAGCCTATCGAGGGGGTGAGGGGAGAGCAAAGGTGCGCTGAAGAGAAGTTTCCTTCATTTGCATCTGACACACTTCACTACTCTCCTATTCAGACAGTACAATCATTTTAATAACTGTCTGCCTGCCTCTAACCCCCCGCCCCCCCCACTCTCCTTCTCTTACTTCTGTTTCTACTGACAAGAAAGATGATGTATGTGCAGACAGATTTGCAGCTTTCCAACTGAGATATGAAAATGTCCTATTTGTGCAGGAATTGGGGTTCCTTTTCCGAGTTTTAAACATAACATTTTAAATCTAACTTTCTTTATACTACTTTTGGTAAGTTTTTTGTTTTTCTTAAATATTGGATTTGAAGTGTCACTTGAGGGAATTTATATATTATTATTAACTTCCTTAGATAAAAAAAATATAAATTGTACTTAAGAAGCAAATGGCAAATGCAGTCATATTTGCAAAAATGTATAAATAAATAAAAAGCATATTAAATACAAAGAAGATTGGGAGAAATGAATGGCAACTTATTGACTCATTGCAGCACCATCGTCAATAACGATAAAGGATTATGAAAAGTTACAACCATTTTGTATTTGATAAATATATTTAGCTTAATCAGGAACTTTAGGTTTTGCAACATGTAAGAGAAATATGCAGACACTTTATTTCCTCACAGAGTGAATGTTGGAGTTTTTCTGTCTGGGCGTTGATGAACTACTTTCCTCCTCAGTGTGAAAAGTTTCATCAGTCCTGCCTACATATGTGTCTTTATCCTGCCTTCACACAACAACTGAGACTGTGGTTCGAACAGGTGAATGCAAAGCTAAACGGTATGAGAACATTAAAGATGTATCGATTATTACCTTAAGGAAACACAAGCGTTAGTCTGTGCGTATTGATTTCCTGTTTAAGAGGCGCTAAAATATTTTTCACAGACGGTTTGGTTTCTAGCCCCAGACAAAAGTTGCGATTTATTTAAAACTTGTTTTTTCAGATTAGTTGTTATGATAATATGTTTTTCGAAAAATAGACCGTCTGAAGTTTACTTGGCGCGCGCATGTTGCAACAGGTGCTACAACAGGAGTGTCAAAAACTAAAAACAGGTTTAAATGATAAACAAATGTATTTATAATCAAATGGAAATGTTAGAAAAATAGATTCGTATATTCATATAAATCTAAGTGATTGTGAAATAATGTATCCATATGTTCCCAAAAGAAAAACACACAGGAAAAATGAGGAACATTCCACTACTTCCTTAAAAAAACTGGCTACTTTGTCACATAAAACGCGGAAAAGTGAATGTATCTTTCTTTATTCAATTTTAAAGTACTTTAATTTACCAATCCGTTACATATCCTGAATGTATTACGCGCACCGAACGGGATTAGATGCTGTGGCGCACCTGCACCGAAACTAAAGGAGTCTTTTCCAGCCAGGTGCAAAATGTCTCCTAAAACTCTTGAGAAGAAACAAGCCCAATTTGGAACTGTCGAGCTATCTTTTAGAGATTATTCTGGGGCTAAAAGGCGCGGTGGAAGTCACTTTACCTGCTATTCCTTGAGTTTGCAGTATGAAGTTCTTCCAACTCTCCCCGGCTCCATGTGCAGAAGGTCGCAGCGCCGCGGCCCCATGGAGCTGCGCCCGGAGTCCCTCCCCTCTCCACTGCACTTCCTCGTTCCAGCCCAACATGACTATGTCTGTGAGCTCTGCTGGGGCATTTTGCTCGCTTTTATCCACAGCCCGAGTCTGCAGCGGGGAGTCAATCCTCCGAGCCCTTGGCACTTGCTTTGTGCCGTGCCAATACAAGCTGACACCCAGTAGACCATTACTGGCAGCCATGCATGAGATGGGATGAGGCGCGCGAAGAGAGTGGACCATTCATTGTTTATTTATTTCATTCTCACCAAAGAAGGGGGTGGTGGGGGTCCTTACTTGCATATTGGACAGCTCCCCTTCTGTCACCTGTTAGCACGCTGAAGCAGTCCATGAAATTAATTAAGTGTTTTCTTTCCCATTTAATGAGTTTTCTTTCTCTCTTTAATGATTCCCCTGTTTGACTTTCTTTCCAGTTATTCTTCCCCCCCCCCCCCCCCCCTCAGTGTCAAAGCTTCTGTCCTGCCTCATCACAAAACAGGTTGTCCAGAATCTGGATTATATCAGAATTGAGCACATTGTTTCTTTCTCAAACTGTGCATCCTCACTGTGTTTCTGTCCTGCAGGAGAGCATCAGGCAGCGTTACAGTCACTGAAATGTGGTTTCTCTCTGGTTTTGTGTGCAGGAGTTTACAAACCAATACTCTGCCACTTGCTCTTTGAGTCCGAACCCAGAAGAGATTTCTCAGTTTCAGATGCGTTCATCAATATGAGCTCTGTGCCACTCTTTGCTTAAGTTTGGCTGCAAAGGCAATAATATACATTCCAAACTCCTTGACTGCAGAGGTGACTGAGTGGATTTACTCACATTTAAAAGTAGTTTACTTAAGTACTACTTCCATTTCCTGCTCCACATGTCCCTACAATTCAAGGGCAATATTGTACTTTACTCAACTACATGTATTTGATAACGATTTACTTTGAAGACTGCAGGTTCTAATTATTATAACAAAATATAATCAGCAAAATTGTATCATGTATTATTATTTTAGGTTCAGATCATGTTTAATGATATCTTGTTAAATTGTCAAGCTACCTGGACATTTATAGAGTTGTTTTTTAAAGCTCCTATACTTTACTGCCACATTTAATTATTTTACACAATACAATTTTGAAAGCATTTTACTTCAGAGAGTAAGAGTATTAATACACTGTGGTATTCCTACTTTTACTGAATTCAAATATCTGAATCTTTGAGATGCACAAAATGTAATGTAATGAGTAAAGCATCACACGCTTACCATCTACAGCACATATAACTGCAACACTTTATCTCCCTCCATCCATGCGGATATTTTGAACATACCATGTACTGTAAGGGCAGGCCTTTTTAGATGCCAAATAACTACTTTTACATTTTCTTATAATGCTAACATAATTGCCAAGTGTCAATCTCTCGCGTAGTCGCGAAGTTAAAGCCACGGAGTGATGAAAATATAAATTGTGGATTAATATTTATGGAAATTCTAAATAAATAATGAGTCACTCCTGTGGATTGGCTAAAATAACTCACCTCTCATTTTCAGACATGTCCTGTCATTATCATCTCATTTGAATACATGGTTATGTAATTACTGATGTTCTCAAAGCTTATTTAAAGTAGAGCTTTTTCCTTCAAGAACTGAAATTCACTCCTGATTAAGTTACAAGGATAAGTCATTTTAAAGTAATTGTCGTACTTCTGTTTCCTCTGCTTGTGACTGTTATTTTCCCAGTCTCCCACTCTCCCCAGACCCCTTGGAGCCCCCTTATCTCAGGAGAGGCTGTGTGTGCTTGATTGCTGAGTCACCTTTCGTGGGAGGCTGCCCTTATCTCCTAAGAAACACAGCATTCAGGCAGTTGGTTGCAAAAGGAGGAACTTTGGGCAGGAGCACTGTGGCCCTGCTGTGTCTTCACGGCCATGTTGCGCATTGCAGCAACGCTAGCTGACTTCCTCAAAGCCTCACTGCCGACGTCTTCCTCTCTCTCTAGGTCTGAAGCTGCAGGTGTGGAAACGTTGCAGGATGAGCAGCTCCTGAGGCCACACACAGAGGGAATGCTGAGCCTGAAATGTGACTCGGCGCTATCAGTGAACGCAGAGGTGTCCAACTGTGACCGTGCTGCTCCATGCCTCAGAGATACCGTTTCTTCCCAGTGACACAGCAGCTTCTCTCACTGTAGCTTTGAGAGGCAAAACAGTGTCAGGACAATGATTCAGTGAATGTTTTAGAGAAGTTACAAATGAGGTGGGATCAATACTCACCGCTGGCTGAGTTGCTGATCATAATCCTAACGTCCGACTGCTACAAAACATGTGTTCATTTGTATTTGTCGCAGCTTCCTTCCTTTGATTCCAACAAAGCACTTGGATGTCTTAAACAGACAGTTCTAAAGCGTCATCTTTCATTTATTTGATTTTAGTTACCGTTTTGATCACTTGTTTGGCTCCCGATGATGTGTTGATATCGTGCGACTCGTGTTTAATCAAAATAAATAATACACTTTTCACATATTCAACAAAAAAAACAGACCTTTACAAGTCATTCAAATCAAAAGAGTCAGAACTCAAATAAAAGAATAGGAAAAGTATACTGTCTTTTTGTGTGGGATAATATAACTTAATGATAACTTAACGCGTTAGAACTGTCTGTTTAAGGCGTCTAAGTGGCTTGATGGATACAAAGGGATGAAGCTGTTCATTCATTAAGCAACCTGTGACCAAAACAGAGGAGCAACTTAATGTAAAAACAATCTTTGTATGTATACTTATAAAAAACACATTTCATTACAGTTAAACAGTCACTTAGGGAAATGTAACGACAGTCCATACAGTCGCATGATGCCACATTCATCACCTCAATGTATTCTCACATGTAGAGGTCTAACCTTCTAATATTCCCTAGACCTAAGATTTCCATCGACATAACTACACTGTAGCTATGTACGAATGACAATAGAAGTCTTGAATCTTGAATCTTCATTCTGTTGTTAAATACTGTGTCTCGATGGCACACACTGAAAAAACTGAAACGTTGAGTTTAATTAATTAATTTTATTATGACAACAAATGTCACACAACTGTATTGGGTTAGTCGAAAGCAATAATATTAAGTTGAACATAATCTGTTGACATAACATTTAATTAAACTCAACGTTTCAGTTTGGTCAGTGCAGGTTGCCCATCTCTATGTCTCTTTAGAGGCTGGCGCTGTGGGAATTGTAGTTTTTATACAATATTTGGCCCTTTTTACAAAACAAAAGACTGGCTCTAACAATATTTTTATGAAAATGTGCCTTCAAATTGAAGCAGATTTGTGCAGAGGGCTTTTTCAAGGTGACTTAATTCTGCAGCCTTTAAGGTTTTACTACTTGCTGTAATCCGCGGCGGCAAATCAAACATAACCCTGAGCTCCTCCGGGTTAATCCACAACCTGAAGCCAGCCGTGTTGCTGTAATTAATATCATTACCTGGCAAGACTCAAGACATCATCAGGCGATGTATCCGGTCGACTACGGAACAATAGGCTCCGGCTGCTTCTTATTTCATGGATCTTTAAGCAGTATTCACGGTTTCACATTTGGAAGCACGAGCAGCATGTAACCCTTAATTGGTTTCAACACCTTAATAAGTCAAAGGCGTTCAAGACTGATAATCACATTAAATAGTCCAATTTATCTATAAAGTCAATTGCAAACTGAAAAACTCTCTTTCTTTAGGAATGCATTATGCTGTGAGGATGTCAGAGTAAATTAAATTCCCCCTCTGCACACTAAAGCATCTATTTCCTTATGGTAATTATCTGCTGGAATAGACGTGTCACTAGAAGGAGTCAGGCATGCTTGACATTTAGCCTTTTTATGGAGCGGCGATGAGTAAAAATTAAGATGAGGGAGAGGAAATTAATCTGCAGCCCAGGCAGGCATTGAGAGATCCTGGAGGATAGGGGCTGAATCAATCATGATGTTTGTGAGCCTGTTTTCAAAAGGAGTCGGTGATGAGATTCAGACCACAGGCTGGAAAATCTGAAGGTGGGGGAGGGGGGCGCGTTTAGAAAACAGAGTTGCTATAAGGAGGTTTATGCAGTTTTGAATGGTTTCAACACAACACTAAACATTAAAACGCAGGTACAATACAACATTTTAAAGAAATTATTTTGGAAATTATTTTTCTTTTGCTGAGAGTTGGAGGAAAATATTGACGTTATTTCCATGTCTTGGGATAAGAGCTAGCCGGAGATGTCAAAATGTGTATTTGTTATTTATTTCAGGTGCTGAAAGGTACATTTTTCAACCTTTTGACAGAGCTGCTTTAGCAGCTGTCCTGTTTCCAGTTTCCCTGTGTGTGAGCGCTGTCAATCTTCTCATTTAACTCAGCAAAAAAGCAAATAAGTGTATTTTCCAAAATGTCAAACTATACTGTCAAACTGTCAAAAACATCTCCAAACGTCCTCAATAATGAAGGCTAATTCCTCTATTTAAATAGTGGGGGATCATATTGAAGGCTGGCTTCCTAAATGTAGCTTTAAGTGAAGATTGTCCAGCACATTAATTGGTGGTTACTGGACGTCAATCACCAGGAGGGCACCCTCAAGTCTAGTGCATTGTAAAGGAACAGATACATCTTAGTCAGTATTATTTATTACACTGATCATTAATGAAACATTGTGTTCAAATAAATTGCGACCAATGTCGGGCAGGAAGAGTATATTGTGTTGATAAAACTGCAAATGGAATTCAGTCATTACATTACAGTTACTAAACCCAGTGATGCTGCTGTTCTTTAAGTTTAGGACTGTACTGTCTTACCAGGAGTTTGATGGAGGCGGATATCAGCTTGCTCTCAGTTGTCTGAGGAGAGAAGGACAAGTCCATGTAAGCTCGAGTTAGTGGAGGTGTTGGGAGGCATCTAAAAAAGGTGAAATGGGAATCCTGGTAACTTAAAAGTGACTTTAGTAAAATTAGAATTCTACGCTGGCTTGGCAAAATTGCCAATTAGCCTTTGGAGTCATCTGTTCAGTTTTGGACGTGTGAAGGCTGTGGCCTCACTGTGAGGACAGGACTGCTATTACTAAAACGTAAAGGCAGGCTTGTTCGAATAATGTTTGGTTTAGTTTTTCTACACATGGCACTAGACATGAAGTGTAGAGGATTCTAAATCTTTGAAGCCATCTTTGACCAAATCGAATTCATAAAGATTGTTAATTGTACCTTTGAGTAACTAAGTAAAGTAATTGAATGCATTGTCAATGCGTAATGAGTCATTGATAACATTATTAATGCAACTTGACCAAACACTACTCTATGTCTCCTGGAGATCTGAAGGGTGCTTTCCACTGTTTTAAAAAAGGAAACTAGATCAGGACTCAGTATATCTCCGCTTCTGCTGCTGCAATTCAGTCGACAAAGTGTTTGGTAGAATATTCTGCATGCACCTTTTTTTGATTTCACTATTTGTTAAAGTAATTAAATGTAAAAATAGCAGATAATTGTATTTTTAGCAGTTCAAACGTGGATTTTTCCTGCTTTTCTATGGATTATATAATATTAAATTGAGTTTTTGACAAAAACAAGAAATGACCTAGGACTTTGAGTAACTGGGATGGATGTTTTTTCCTCTTTTTCTAACGTTTTATATACCATTTATGGATGAATCCAGCAAATCATTGAACTGAATCATTGGTTGCAGCCCTAAATCTGTATGTTTTTTTAAACGTAATGACAATAAGATAATGTAGTTGCGATGTGGATGGGACTTGTGATGCATCGGTGATCACAGAACCTTTAACCTAAATCAGCAGCGTGCTCAAGTAGAAATCCTCGTGAAATGTAAATCAAACAACATATAGATAAAGAGAGACAGGAAAACCAGCTCTTCCCTATTTCCTGTCTAAGCGCGAAGCGGCAAAACACAGACATAGAGCTATAGCTGGCAGGCACTTCATAATGATGTCCATTTGCATTGCAGTCACATCGAGAGAAGCAAAAGCCTCTAAATGATGTGTGCAGCTCATACTACAGAATGCATTTAATGTGTACTTCTTGAGCAAATTATCTAAAGTTAATAAAAAAAATATGACTCATAATGCATCTCTAATACCTGGTTTTTATACTGTTAATTATCTCACTAGTGCATCAAATCCTTACTTCCCTAAATATGTTCTGTGTGTGGACCCTTTCTCTGCCCTTCTTGATAGAAACACACACACACACACACAAACACACACACACACACACACACACACACACACACACACACACACACACACACACACACACACACACACACACACACACACACACAGTGAGCAGGCAAGTGAGTCAGTGAGAGAGCGAATGTTTAAGAGGACAATGCGAGAGCTCACTACCCAGAGTTAGAAAACCACTCATCTAAATCAGGGAAATTATGATAATGGGGCATCTCATTATTCTCCAACTCTCTCCGAATCAGTCACTGACATCACATCATTATAGACGTATTCATACAAACAGATTGGATGGCATAAAATGGAAGCAGACACCTTCAAAACTTTCTCATCGCCTTTGTCTAAAGCCTCCCCGGCTGCTTGTGTTTGACAGGAAGTGCAGGTCTCAGGAAGGGGTTGCAGGGGGTCGTGGCGGTCACCATTCGTGACAGGGGGGCTGCGTGGCCAAAAGAAGGACTCCCCAATTCAGTGATTGTCCTGTGAAAATATCACAATTTTGAGTCAGAAAATCCTCATTTATTTAGATCAAGTAAACACCAAAGGCTGCTACACACTGATACTTAAAAAAACACCAGGCACTTGTGTAAGAGTGAGCTTTGGCAGGCAGAGATCCTGAGAACGTCTGACCGTTGCAACAGACAGTTAATCAATCCAAGTGCTTGTCTTTTTTTCTGTTTTGGGGAAAAAATATGGGAGGCCAGCCTAATCAGCAGAGGAAACAGATCTCAGCACCAGGAAAATGGATCTAGGTTGTGAAAAACCACGATTACCACGAGCTGCTCTGGATCCAGCCATCTGGAGATGCCTGCTCCAAAAGACGGTAAAGTTCCCGCAACTGGGGCCCGACTAGGAAACAGGTTGCACCTCCTTAACAGACAGGCAACACTCCCAGAGCGGAGGGAGGTTTGAGTGTTAAAAGCTTCCACTTGGTTCATGTACACTGACGTTATTGCTGTTAATATGTTACATTTTCTTCAATTAAATATTCTCCGTTGCTCTTGATGGCATGATCTGCTTTAAAATCTCCTCTATGCAATAATGTTATTTTGCCCTCAAATTAACCCTCTTGTCATTTTCTCCCCAGTTTTCCAAGACTTCCAATTTCCCTCCTGTCTGTCTTCAGGAACGACATCCATTGTTTTTTTAATCTCTGGCTGAACATTTCCAATTACTGTAGTCTTTACAAACTGACCATTAACTTGTATCTCACCGGCCCACTCATCCAATACAATACCATACACATTTAGCTGATGCAAAAGCCTAAAGAAATGCCAGTCAAATACATATAAAGAAGAAAAGCTCAAATACT